ACTGAAGCGAAGATAACACTACAATTTCACCCTCAGCTCAATCAGTAACCCCTTAGGAGGGGCAAAACAATAATCAGGGACTTGCTTATGCTGCACCTGAATGTTTCTGTTATGAGATCATTAAATCCTCAACCCAACGACAATAAAACGTTCCCTTCAGACAGTGAGAAACGGCCTCTTGATAAGTGTACTGAAGTTAATCATGCAGAGCCCTGGACGGGATTACAATAACACAGCCTCCTTTTGTTCAATGAAGATGGACCATTATTGGGTCGGTGGTTGTGGTGCATGATGATTGGCTAAGAAAAGTGCCTTGCTGTACCATATCTATTAGAGGTTCTTCAAGGTTAAAGATTTAAAATCGGTAGAAAAACGTGACGCATGCAAAAGCCACACATATAACAATGATACACCAATGTATAGTGCAATAGTTTCTCCATTGGCGCGCTGGACTTTTATGCTGGGAGCAGAGAGGCATGTTACAAACTCTTGATATTGCACTTGTCTGCGTCATCTAGACAGTTTTCTCCTAGTATGCCTAGATATTTAGACCAACTTGTTGAGAAAGAAGAAATTGTCCATAATGATCTTTGAATTTTTGAGGAATGCTGCAATTGGCTTAACTTGGAAGTAGGTTTGCCGATAAGATTGTCCAGGTCTTTATTTGCCTGTCCAGGAAAAAAAAAAATCCTATTCCTGGATACAAAATGTCCAGGAATCCAAGCATTTTCATGTCAGCATTTCTTTTAAAACTGCTTCTAAATCCACTAAATTTAGTCAAAAATCAAGCCACTGATCAAGTGTCTAGAAATTTTATTGGGCTGTGGTGGCTACACTACTTGGACGTGGGAAGTCGGAGCTCAGAATTATGTCATTTTCAATATCCATGCTTTGGAGCTACAAAGTTGGAAAAAAAACACGGCTGCCTCTAAGAAATCAAGCATTGTTAGCAACAAGCTAGTCAGTGGGTGAAAGCTTTGGCATTCATGATGTATTTACCTTCTCAACACAGCAAACTTGATAGTCAGTATAGTATAATATACTACCAGTATAGGATTTGGATTTGATCAACTACTCTGCATGTATGCTGACTGATCTAAAGCAGATCTCATTTTGAATTAGAGAAGTGACACTTTATTACTATTGACTGTGTGAGCAGCCATTTCGATATGTCTTCAAAATTGACTTGGAATTGAGAACACTATCCTGACTCTCCGAGTAGGAGGTCCCAGTTGAGTTTTCCTAATTGGAGGTCTGAGTTCTATGTTATGAACTCTAGTCGAATGCAACATTAGACCAGTGGTATCTGTGTCTGGTCTTGGTGAGCTATCATCCTGGAGAGTTTAGATCCAGCACACCAGGCTCTAAGATTCCCCTGATACTCTTGAAAGGCATGATTATGCTACTAAAAAAAAAGCCTAACAGGTTTATGATGGTCTGGTGCTGTTCTGATGCTGGTTTGTCTGGCCACCCAGCATGGTCATTATGATTGACCAGCCTATCAGCATCCATAACACAACATACACAGGTTTTGCTGGTGATCAGCTATGCAGGTCTACAGTGGATTTTCAAGCAGGGTAACTGGATCATGTGTGCCAGATTAGGATCATAACCAAACTCTCTAGGATGGTAGACCACTGAGGCTGGGCTTGGGCCGTTTGGTTCATTTTCCTGTATCTTTTCATAACACAAAGCCTTCCATCACGGAAACCTCTCATCACTGTGACCTCTCATTTTCATCGTGACATTGTAGTGATGACTGAAGTATGCATTAGCATCTCATTAGCATCTGATTAAGTTTCTTTAAACCACAGTTGCTATTTGCTGTATAATTTTCTATGTACCTTTTTCATTTTCTTGAGAAGCACAGTATTGATTTCAGTTTAACAAGAATCAGTAATTGATTTCATTGTCCTGTTGGGCTTTATTCATCATGACCCCAAGATCAATAACTTAAAAGCTCTTTAGCAGCTTGGGTAAGTGTTTCTTTTTAAAAGTGTTGCAAAGCATACATGATTTTGTGTAGATAATTTTGTCTGAGGAATTTCACACAGTATCTGGTTGCAATATGGACTATACTGAAACATAATAATATGGACATTAATAATCTCTACTTGTTCAATTCATGTATAGTGCAAGTAAACTTGTACTGGTAAATATATCTGTATTACTTTGTGTAGAGTTACCATGGCCTAAATCTGTCAACTCTTTCTCTTTCTTGTGCATTAAGACACGTTTTTTTCCATTTTTCTGCAATATTCTCCAAGGATTTTTAGGCTTTATGGCTTGGCAAACTCACCCACCAAATCTCCTCCTTTCTCTCCTCTAGCCTGGGGTCTAGTTCCTCTCTGGGGACTTGGGGTAGATGAAGTATGACGTACACTGCTAAGATCTGCTTCACTTCCTTTAGCATGTTTTACACTGGAATTCTAGGTGATGCATTATTAAACAGTGAAGCAGATTCATTAACCATTTCATAATTTGCCCAAAGCATTACGCGCATACTTAGCCAAGCTCTGACGTGAGTTACGGGAAGCCAGTCTTTGAATAAATTATTGATTTTTGTTTTGTGCTGACAGTTATAGGATACAGTAGAAAGCATTATTGACAGGGACCATTAAATAAAACCTCAAATTAGAAAAAAAGCAGACAGGCCTTGAGTCAATGACCATTTTAGGGGTGGCCTCTACAACCATATCTTAAAAACTATTATCTTAATTTCTGCCATCGCAATGTCACCAAACAACTGGGTTCATTTACATTATATGTCTTACAGTGTTGAATTTACTGCTTTCAACACTCCCTGGACAAATGACATGTTTTGTACATGTCAAAAATTAAAATTACCAAAAAAAACAAAAACAAAACACAAAAACAAGAAATCTAAAACGTGCCATAACTTTTATACAGGCCAATTTTAATGTTAATGTTAAATTCAGCAAATAAACAGCAATACTGAATTAAATGTGCAGAAATGTGTTGTATGTGTATTGTTGTCACTTAGAAAATCAACAAAACAGGCAGTTTCACAAGAGGTGCCCAGGTATTTTTAGGTAGATCATTTTGAGCTTTACATGGTACAGCAACAAGTAAAGTTATTAATTTTTGTTTTTTGGCATTGTTTTGTCCCAATTCTTACATTTTTTGCTCTTTATAAATTAGTTTGTATTACTTTTAAACTATTGATTCTTTAATATTTTACAAAATATAGGCCTTTGTGTCTTAATAATTAGCTTTAAAACTTTAGTTCAGTGACAGTATACAGTTTAAGAAAAGAAAGGTTCGGAAAAACAGATTAAATATTATGTACAGATTTATGTTCATATTTTACTATGCTGTGGTAATGGGAATTCGGTCACTTACATTGGAAAATATTGCTTTAAATCTATTTTAAATCAGTGAAATCATTCAGTTTTATTTTTAATTACTCCACTAGGCATCACTGCTTGTATATTCAGAAAGCACTTCACATAAGGTCCCAGTATTTGTCATGTTTGTGAGAATAACTGTTTGAAATGTTCGGAGTTGTATTCATTAATAATTTGTCAGCAACTAAAGAGCGTTCGGAGAAATTTCTTTGAATTTTGTGGGTTGTGCTTATAGCCTATTAGCTTATTACTTTGCTCCATTTAACAATGGCAAGCTTTTCCTTCCATCTACACCACAACCAAGCCTACAGCTAAATTAATGTTTTTTTTTTCTTGCCTCAACAGCACAGAAGGGGGGCACTGGACAGCTTCCCAGTGCTGCAGCCCTCTGATTTCTAATCATGTGCATGAAATACAACACAACAGTATTATTAAAAAAGCTTTTTACTGACATATAACAAAATGAAAAACACTAAATTTAACCCCAGTACTCTCTGCTCTAATCGTCCAGGCCTATTTTATACTTACTGTATGTGAATGGTGGCCATCATGTCTGTTAGAATGGCTTTTCTTAATCTATCCATAGATGTAACCTAGTTATCATCATGGCCATTGACACAGTACAAATGGGTTTTTATAAGGCAGCTAGTTGTAGAGTGCTCTGCAGGACTGTGTCTAATATTGCTAATTGTGATTGGGCTCCCATCAAATATGATAATCTATTCACGATTAATGGCTGCTGCTCATTAACTCCAACTTCATTAAAGACATTGCAGAGAGACAGTTTGAATGAGAATGATGCAAAGCATCCACTATACTGGCAAAGCTTGGCCCGCAAGCAAGGGAAAAAATAAAGTGCTCATTCACTTGTGCCTTCAAGATCAGTTATGAAACTAAGTGCATATTAAGTTGTGCCTTTAACATCAGTTGTAAAGGTAAATAAAGGCACAAGTGCTCACTGGAATGTTATAGTTTAATCGTTATGTTATAGTATGTCTTCCTGACCCCTATCACTTCACTCACAGTGGATGTCAGGCAAATGAATGTACTACCAAAGACACATCTCTTTACGTTATATAGACAAGCATGAGCGCCTCAATTGCTGATGTGAATTTTGTAAAGAACTGAAAAACGATGCTTGAGTTAAACAGAATAATCTTCTATTTTAATCCCATCTCTGCTCAGATAAAGGGGAAAGTTATGGTATAGGGAACATGTTTTGTTCAAGTTACAGTCAAAAAATTGTTACTTCACACATACTGTGCAACAAAATGAAGCCACAACAAGAACAATTACACTTAGGTCTTGCTGCACTTTCTAAGTGCAGTGGATCTAAGCGAAATGAAAAAAAAAAAAGATCAAGATAAAGTTCACAAATGCACTTTATATTTGAAGCGAACACACAGATGAGTTTGTGTTGTTGCTATGATTCTAGTTGCTATGCATCCTACTCAAGACCAAAAAAGAAACAATGAACCATGAACTTCTGTAAATTCCACCAATTATAAAGCTCTGTAGGTTGGCCTTCTTGCACAGTAAACAAAACAGGGCCTAGAGTTTCACCAAGTGGCACTCACCAATAAAAAATAAAAGCCTCATGAAGACACACAAGCACAGTTTATGACATCTCACCTCCCAGTCCAGGCCTGAGCCGGTTATCATAGCCATCCAGCAGTCGGTCCAGGATACGTGTGAAGAGGGTGATGTTGTTTTTGAAGGCATCTGTTGTAGTATCTGCACATACCGACCTACATGGCAAATGCAAATACATGAAGATGCACATAACAGCAGCCTGAAAGAGCCTGACTCATGCATTAAAAGCTGAAATACGTCACAGTGTTCGACATTATGAGGCAGAATGTCCACACCCTATTCTGCACAAAGCGTTCTTCTCCACATAATAGAGTCTGGGTGACATGTGGCTCGAGAACATCATTAGCATAAACATTCAGGCAAACATTTGGAGAGGCTGAGGGGTTTGAATCACTTGTTCAGTGACCACTCATGTCATTTAATTCATGAACAGTCAGCTTTCCACCATACTGGCATGATATTTAAGGAACTTAAAGAGCTTTCTTAGGTGGTGGTTGCTATTGGTAACTTCCCACATTCCTCTGAGTTCTCTGGTTATTATATAAATAGCTTTCAGCAGGTGGAGCTGGCGGACAACAATCACTTACATTACTAAAGGACTGTTGATGGGCTTCTAGATGCCACCAGTCACCTTTATATTTATTTATTTTTGAAAGGTTTATTTTTCTAGACTTGCTCCATTCATGCAACATTCTGTACGTATTCTCATGAAAAAGAACAACAGCATGCAGGAATTTATACAGGGCTAAAATATATTAGATCATTATAGATGACCACAGATTACTATACATTATACAGCCAAAATCTTATGTTATTTTAATATTCTCTCCTATGTTCTACTGATGTGCTGTTTTCCAGTTTATTAAAATCATCTACCATGTACCTACACTCATTTACCATTTATCACCTACCACTTTGTAGGTGTACAAATACTGACTGTAGCCCATCCATTGCTAATCCTGATACACTCATGCCAGTGCAACATCTGCTCAAGCCACAAACATGTTGATATCATTACTGGGCTGAAAATGGTCCACCATCCAAAAAATGACTGATCAGTGGTGTTCCCTTTCCATTGATGAATGGGGTAGAGGGAGGCTGACCAATTGTGCAGCAACACATGGGCTACAGTAACTGTAAATCAACTAAGTGCACCTGCAAATGGTGCTTGGCATGGGTATATGGTTCTAGGAAAACCTTTGGAATAATGCAGAAATTGTTTAAACATGAAAAAGTTATTCAGGGAACCTAAGGTGTTTTTTATGGCATGGCTCCAAATCTTTAACCCCTTTAGTTGCTGAATAATGAGCCTTAGTATGTAAAAAGCCTGGGATTTTGAGGGGTTATGAGTGTAAATAGTGGTTGTATCTGATACAATGGCCAAGGACTGTAGGTTCCTAATAAACTGCCAACTGCATTTACTTGATGCTATGTTAGTCACATTACTGGCAAGACCAACTGTTTGTAAGTGATATCTGGCCAATAACACAAACTCAGATTCAGATTCTGATGAACAGTTACGGTAGAGACGTTGTGGCAAACTGCAGTTATAAATCTCATCTCAACTCTGAAATCAGCTGTAGAATTCTTAATAGAGTGCTCAGATGACGTAGATGCTGGAATAAAATATAAACGTGGTTTGTCTGAGGAGCCCCAGAGGAGCTGAAAAGCTCTTGTCTAGTGAAACATCTTCCTCAGGGTTGATTCCCTTTATCTCTCTTGCTCTCTCTCTCTCACCAGGATGACAAGCCTCCCTCTCTTCCTCTCTAACCTGCCCAGCTCAACCCACATAGCAGGGAAGCACGTGCAAGCATCTGATGCTTGAGTCAAATCCCAAGTGGGCTCGCTAATGTAGGCGATGATGGAGGAGCATCTTAGCCTTCATGCTGTGCAATCACAGCACGTTTCGTAAATGAAGTTTATGTAATGGGACACAAATACTGAGTCACAGTTTGCTTGTTACGTTTTTTGATAACAGCTTATTGGACTGTTGTGATGTCAAGATTTTTCTTCTTCTTGAGGACACTTTAAACCAGAAGAACACACTGGGAACTATGCAGGCCACATCTTCAGTATCCTAATGACAACATAAGAAAAGATGACAGTAAAGGTTCTGTAGAGCAATGCCATAGGAGAACCACTGTTGGTTAGCTAAACAGCCCATCCACCACTGATGGTTCTTTAAAGAGCTGCTGTAAATTAAATTAACTTTCACATAAAGGTTTTTTCTAGCACCATATGTACCATAGTAAGAACTATTTAGGGACCTTAATTCTAATTTGAAACAGCAAAGAAACCAAAGCAACAACTGGATGAGTGCTAGGCTAAAATGTTTAGACTACATTTCCACCCAGAGGGCTCCACAATTCAGATTCTGTTCCTTCCAGCAGCAGCTGGGCTGGTAAGCCCCGTATCCCCCACACCGAGCTGAGCACTCTCTCCATTACCATGCGCTCCATATCGCGCCTCACTTGCTCTCCACATAATGAAAGCGCACTGAACTCTCGCACTGTTACACACCCCCATCGCGAAGAACCGCTCCTAAATGACGCAGAACTCGCAAAATATTCCACTTCGAGTGAAAGGAATCTGATTTTTATTCCAGGGAACACCCTCGTGTTACCCAGACTTGTGACCGAGAGCGCGTTAAAGGCGCTCCAGAGCCACCGGTTACGCGCAGAGGGGGATGGAGAGGTGCGCCCCTGCCATCAGGAGAGATACTCAAAATGGGTTCTATAGATCAGCAGCGCTTTAGACAGTCGAAATAAATCAAGAGAAGGGAAAACAAAGCGGAAAGCATATGTGAATTCTTACCTTGTTTGCCAAAACAACGTTAAGGAGATGGAGACGGCCAAAGAGTGGATTATGAAGAGTCTTCCCCTCATCTCTGATCACTCCCACCTACATGAAAGACAGCAGGAAAAGCAGCTGAAACCAACACGAACGCAAATGCAGTGTAGTGGTGAATATGCCCACTGGCCAAATGGAAGAAGGCGAAGTAAAATTAGTCATGCATCGCCGTGAACTGGATTGTGCTACCTGGGAAACACGCTGGAAGGGAAGAGACGCACGCACGCACACTCTCTCTCACACACACACACACACACTCACACACACACACACACACACACACACTATTAAAATGCCCACTTGTTCAGTACTGAGCCCGCGCGGACACGCTTAATGGTAATTCGCCCCTGCCTCAGGCTCGTGAGCAGCGCCCCACGCTTTGCCGGCAAACAACGTTTTGTCAGTCCACACACGGCCAGTAAAGCGCGTGGATTTTTAAAAACACCCACCTGACAGTCCAGCCGTGCGTCCGTCCACTGCCCACAGCGGTCAGAACACTGAGGGACGGTGAAGTTAGTCCAGCCTGGATTCACAGAGCCGCTTAAGAATGGAAAAGATGGAAACTGAACGTTAATAGATTCCCACCGATGAGACAGCTCGCGCGCTTTCGGTCGCAAACGTGCGTTTAAAAAAGTGCTTCACAAAACGCTCCGTTATCCGAGCGTGGCGCCTCGTCACGCGGACAACCGGAGCCGCCTGACAATATTACACACACACTGCTCACTTTTCATTTTTTGCTCGTGGAAAACTACAAAGAAAATCTGAACGGACGACTGCTGGGTCCTAAAGGCAGCTCTGTTCCAGCTCAGCTGGTTAGCTCATAAATGTACATAAGTATTCAGAAATAGTGTGATTTTATAAGCTGTATAGGCTATTCATTGTTAATTACTGCCTATGTAAAAGGCATTGATGTACCAGAGCAGACTAGTACAGCTTAATATAATAACATGTATATACTTGATGACATATTTTATTAAATGTAATATCTGAATGGCTGTAATGAGTATAATAATCTCTGATGAATCTACTATTGATTTAGATATTTCACTCGCATTTAATTTCATCACTCATGTCCTTGAAACATTGTATTCTGCCTACATACAGGTTCTGAAAACACTTTGATGTAACAAATGTATGTTCATAGTCTGTTCATCATATCAGTGAAAGAAAAAAAGCAAAATAAAATGCATGTGAGTAAAAACAAATACAGTTTGGGAACATATTGATCATTGAGACAAAGATCCGTGTCTCGATCTTTGAATTCTGCAGGAAATATTGCTCTGTTCTCAAGCGTATTTCATGTGTTTGCCTACCTGCCCCTCCTCCTCTCGCATAAAATACTTATTCATTGTCGAGTGTCAGGCACATAAATAACACTGCACATAATACAAACATGAATGGTTAATCAAAGACAAGTGACAGACACTGAGCAAAACAAAGGGGCTTCCGTTTACCAGTATCAACCTCCGTATTACATTCTATAAAAGGATATTAACAAATTTAACAATGCTATTCCAGACGCTTCTAACTCTGCAATAACAAACCATGAGCGGAATAACAAACAGCTCCGTTCACAGACATCTGCAAACCAACTTTCCCACTTTCATCTGGCACAGAGCCTAGCCAGAGTGCAGATTTAACTGAAGACATACTGTAAATCACATTTAATTCCTCACAGATCAGGCCCTAATGACTGAGAACTAATAGTGGCCCTCTCTCTGCAGCCCTCACTATTAATATTTAAGGCAGGGAGTGCAGCCATAATGGCCAGTGGCCCTCAGGAGAAAGACACAAGCACTATGAAAATAAATGCCAGAGTGCAGTCAGCAATGCAAATAACAGTAACTTTCTGCACTAGTCTAACAGTGCAGTGGGAGAGTGCTTTAACATGCAGAATTATGCTATTGTTATGTTTTGTTTAGTGTATTTTTTTAGGCTTTATAATTTAATTGATTCAAAAACAGTTTCCAAAAATGGAGCTCTTTTAATACATCTATTGAAAAATATAGAGAAAATAGGGATGCCAAACAACTGTGCAAGACCTAGTAGACCACCACAACTGTCACCATCAGATAAACAGTAGTTAAAGCTTTCATCTTTAAAAGAGAAAATCAAGCTCCACTCTTATTTTAGATCTGAAAAATCACAGGTGTTTTTGTCCATCCTTCCACTGTGAGAAGATGACTCAGCACAATGGGTCTGACAGGATGTGTAGCTGTTAAGAAGCCGATTCCGAGAAAAGGAAAAGAAGAAAATGTGCACTATACCACAAAAACTGGACATCTAAGATGAGGAGAAAATGTTTCATGGACTGATGAATCTAAATGAATTTGTTGTGCATCAAGCATAGCAGTGTTGTTGGAGTTTTTAAAGACTTCACTGTCCTTGCTGGGTTGAGAACAACATACCAACCAAAAAGATCCAGGCAACAGCATCCTGTGATCAGAAACTGACCACCATAAATGGCAAGAAGATGACTGTCAAAAAGTGTGTTTGGAAAAAAGCTATAACCTCTATAGACTCTAACTATTTATCTGTGCCAACAAAGTAGGTGTTTCTAATAAAGTGAACAGTAAATGAAACATTGCCGTGACTGATACTGATACAATAGTACCAACGCACTACATGGTAGTGACATTGTCAAGCAGTGACACTACTCTCAATGCCACTACCATGTCAGTGTCACCGCTTGAGAATGGTCCACCACTTAAATAATATCTGGTCTGCAGTGGTCCTATGGTTGCCACTTTCTAATGATAGACAGTACAGAGGGGAGTGGATAAACTGCACAGCTACACTCAAGAACAGTCAACCTACAAAAAGCAATAATATGGTAAATATTTCTGATAAAATTCAAAGTTAGATTATTTCATGTGGTGTTTCCATTTTTTGTACACTATATACAAGAACTGTGTTGAAAACTATGTTAGAGCAATTTTTTTAATACTGTTAATGCATTTTCCAGCCTGAAGCCCAGCTACACATGCGGCCCTCTTGGTCAATTACATATTTTAAAGGGCAAGTGTTACGACCCTGCAGGCAATATAGGGGACAATGGGGTCAATAACATATGATTTAAAATGTGAAGGGTGGAGAACAAACCAGGAAGGAACAAGACACAAAAGTCGCCCTCTGGCTTTTACCGTTTGCTGCACACTAGGGTAAAGTTACAGTCATGCTAGGACCACAGTGATACCACCAGGAATAAGATGAGTTACACTATTAACAATATTGTCAAAGAGGCAGTTACACCTGCTGCTGAAGTAAGGGAGAGTCTGGACCTGGACGGCACTAAAAGAAAGGAATTGTCAAAACAAACAAAAAGAAAAAACTACCCTAGCTGTTTAGTTTAAGTTCTCACCTAACCATAAAACAAAAGACCTATCCACTCTGTTCTGACCTATAACAAAATTATAAATTGGCGCCTGCCTCTTACCTAATGTGTCTATACATCAGGCTAACACGTGATGTAAAATGTATGAGCGCACCCATCTTTCCTGTCCAGAACCCCAAGAGAAGCACCATAGCATATGCAATAGAGAGAGAGAGAGAGAGAGAGAGAGACAGAGAGAGAAACTGGAGAGAGAGAAACTAGAGAGATACAAAGTACCCAGGCCCCCTTGACGAGTATGTATATATACATACATATATATATTCATATACAGATAGACATATATATATATATATATATATATATATATATATATATATATATATAGATGCAGATAGATACAGATATATAGATATAGATAGAAAGATAGAAGAACAAAAGCCGTAAATGTGCTCCTTGTTCTTGGGTGATTACATGATGAAGTGCAAGAGCTAGCAAGACCTCAGGTGTTTATTTTTCACACTGATGCACATGTGACGCTACAGCAAGCCTGCAGACTCACACATTCCCTGTAACTGCAAGTTTTTCTATAACCGCCTATAACAGCTCTATAACGTGGCCACTAACATAATTAAAGTGACGGTGGAACCAATCAACCAATCATGTTTTGATTTACAATGGGTGGGAGCAATTTTTGTGAGAAAATAACATTAGGCCTTCAGGAAGTCCTAGATACGTCAGTCACTGCAAACATGAGTGGGAGGCTGACCATTTCCATCAGATCTTAAAACTGGAAGAACTCTTCGCTGAGTCACTATGAAACTGCTACATACAAGGTTCAGCTAAAACATGAAATGTTGCTAACATACTACTAGAATCCTATAGGGGTGCTAGGAGAAATTATCATTATTATAGAAGTGTTTTGTGTGCGTTTTTGAGTTTTGACATATATGTCCCAAACTGATAGGGTGCTATTGCACTCCTACTCTACAATAAATGTGTTATTGGTAAAGATTATTTACATTATGTGCTTTAAACTTTAACAAATGTCTCTTTAAGGACTTATTTGTTGAAGGCATGAACCAAAAGTGGAATCACTCCAAAGAACCCTTTTTGGAACTTTATTTTTAAGAATGTACTGTATGCATCAGTATGCAGAGTGAGGGAGTGTCCAAGATGGCAGCACAGCGGTGTTCAAATGCATTGACTGCTGCTTGCACAGAGTGTATTTGTCACTATAATGAGCAACTTCTGCACCGGAACATGCCTCATTTCAACAGTGACAGCGTTCACAGGCAGAATGAATAGAGCTGAATGACTACATGACTCCTCTGATGCCAACAGCATCATCTGTCACACATGTCAGCCTAACCAGCAAAACTAACATCCACATTAGCCAGGCTACCACAGGGATGTTCTGTTATTATGGAGCTTCCTATACACAGCTTCACAGAAGAGTAATGGTTTGCATTCCAGCTGGGTGCTCCTCCGTCTGAGCAGGCCAGCTGGAGATGCTGTTTGAAACTAGTTGGGCTAGAGAGTAATGGAATTCAGTGCACACGGGGATGTAGATGCAAGAATGGAGTGCGAAAAGTCAAAACACTCAGATGAATTCTTTGTGCACCTTCTGAGCTGTAACTGAAAAATGTACAAAAAATGTTGCCAAAGCTGTTTTCTTTAAACTTAGATTGTCAGTGAGGCTTTATTTTAACACATAAACAGTACTTTACATTCTGCTCAGTTTCAGTAAATCTAAATCACTGATTACTGGTGAGGTTTATAGCTTCCCGTTAACAATAAGTGTGGCTTTACAGTTCACATTAACAAAACTGAATTATCAAAGATCAAAGCTATCATGCACAGTTTTATCAGCCACTACAGTTTTCACTGATAACAATGAATAAAACAAAAACCTGGTACCATAAAACAGATCAAAATCTAAGACACCAGTATTAGTTTTGTGCCTCACCTCCTTAAAACCTCTTAAACTCTGGGCGTATTCTTCAGTTAATTTGGACTTAAGGCTATTATTCCGTAACGATTATGAAGTTAACATTTCAACAGTAGGGAACCCATTAGGGCCTTCTACATGTTCAGAGACGACTTAATAATTTCTGGGAATTTATATGTCTGAAGTTATTGTTCATCTTTATTAATAGAATAATCATGCTTGATGCAAGTATTGTAAATTGCAGTAATACTCTCTATAGAAACAAACAAAAAATAGTGAAAATCTAAAAATTGCTCAATGAACAACAATCAGGATTTCTTTGCCTGTGATATCTGGGTAGACATAGAAAAGCCAAGTCTCCCATTAGTTAGGCCTTCAGGAGATGAACAGAAGACCCTACATG